TTTTCGTTTTTTTTTGGGGGGGGGGGGGGGGGGGGGGTGCCAGTGTGAAGAGGTGGTTATTGGCTTGTGTTTCTCAATTTTTAGTAGCTGAATCTCCCTTTTGTGAGTTTGTCAGGCATGTTGATGCTTAATTGTTACTTGGGGCATGTGGAGGAACAAAATTCTATGTCAAATCTGTATTATCCTGCCATTTTGGTAAAGATGACAATGTAATGTTGTAAAGTGGATATTTTGGCTTTGGGATTTGAGAGTGTGCCTCTTAGCCTAGAGTACAGTGATACTGCTGTTCTAACAGCTTATAGGCTATAGCTAAACATTTAATGCTAGAGGTAATTTTAGAAAGCTTTGAGTCGAAAAAGTTCTCAAATTGCGTTGCGATCTATCTCAATTTTGAATGAGATTTAAAGATAAGAAAACCAAAACAAGATATTCAATTTCAAAGTTCTGTTTCAAAAAAAAAAAAAAAAATCAAAAATCAACTCCAAAGTCTTGAGTAATTTTTTGTTGCTAGCAGGAGGAAGTACATTGTGATATAAAAAGGAAAGAGAGGTGAAATTTCATATTATCAAGAAAGTTGGCCAAAGCATGTAAAAGCACACAAGAACCTACTATGTGTAGTGATCTATCTCAATTTTGAATGAGATTTAAGATAAGAATGCCAAAACGAGATATTCAATTTGAAAGTTCTGTTTCAAAAAAAAAAAAAAATCAACTCCAGAGTCTTGAGTAATTTTTGTTGCTAGCAGGAGGAAGTACATTGTGATATAAAAAGGAAAGAGAGGTGAAATTTTATATTATCAAGAAAGTTGGCCAAAGCATGTAAAAGCACACAAGAACCTACCATGTGTAGTGATCTATCTCAATTTTGAATGAGATTTAAGATAAGAATGCCAAAACGAGATATCCAATTTGAAAGTTCTGTTTCAAAAAAAAAAAATCAACTCCAGAGTCTTGAGTAATTTTTGTTGCTAGCAGGAGGAAGTACATTGTGATATAAAAAGGAAAGAGAATCAGCAATGCTTTTAGGAATCAGCAATTTATTCAATGAATATGTATTGCCGAAAGGATATAGAAGATTCACACAAACAGGCCCTACTAGTTGGGTTTTGAGGTCAAGTTGATTGATTGATTGATTTGGATTCTGGTGTGATATGTCTGCTGGCTCTCTTTAGAGATCCCTCTCTTTACTCGATGGATAGCGCTTATTCTCTTTCAATCAACAAAATGAGTTTCCTTAGATAATTGAGAACCCTTTGCTGTTAGGTTTCTTTTTATTCTCCTGGTCAAGAGTTTGTTCCTTTAGAAAGGCAAGCGATAAGAACAATACATCTGGGAAAAAGAAGGCCATACCCAATGAGTTCTCTCTTCTGACAAAAGATAGTGATTTTTCCTGTTATATATTGTTACTTGTCAAAGAAGGAAGAAATAATAGATCTGGAAAAAACCCAGAAGATATGGAAGTCCACTACAGAAATAGAAGAGCGTTGTCATCACCTGTCCCAAAAAATTAACTGAAATAAAGTAGAAGAGCATTGCCTTTTGCTAGAGCAACATGCTTCAGCAAACAAGTATGTGAGTGCTGTTTTATTGTTTTATGATATACTCTCCTCTCTGGCTCTCTATAGTTGAATATGAAGGACTAAAAGTAGTTTAAAATATGAATATTTTTCACGATCCAAAGTTCCACCAAGGTTGTTATGACACCTAACCCAAACGGTTAGGCGAACCAACAAGCATAACCAACAAATCCGGATACCAACAACAACAACGACCCAGTAAAATCCCACAAGTGGAGTCTGGGGAGGGCAGTGTGTACGCAGACCTTACCCTTACCCCGATTGAATAAAGAGGTTGTTTCCGATAGACCCTCGGCAACAAATCCGGATACCATAGAGACATAAACAAGTCTAAACATGGATAAGATCATAAGTCTAAATCTGATAATACATAAGTGCGGAATACTCCAAATACAACCCCCAAGGACTAGTAATACAAGTCATGAGCGACTAAAGATGGAGAAATACAACATTCTCAAAATATAATTGTCTAAAATAAAGGACAAAAATAGATATGAAGGCGGTGACTCCAAAAGCTGCGGATCCAAGCAAGACAGTTCACCATGAAGTCCCCAAGTGCTAGCTTGATGCTATCTTCTAGGTCCCGCTAGTACCAGGAACGGAGTTTGCACAAAAATGTGCAAAAGTGTAGCATGAGCGCAATAATCCACATGTATTCATTAAGTATCAAGTCTAACCTCAACGAAATAGTTGTGAGGCTTTGGTAAAAGATACTCTCTTTCCATAACATGTGCAGTTCACAATAACAGAGAAACAAACAAGGAACATCAAATATAAATAATAAGGTGTACAGTCAAAGTCGCATATAATAAGCATGCTTTCTCAGATAATATGGTCAAAAGCATATGCCAATGCATCAAATCCACATACAAAGGATGCATCAATAAGAGCCTAATATAATGTAACAGCCCAGCCCGCTAGTGATATTATCTGCTCTGGGCCTAGGCCCTCACGGGTTTAAAACGCGTCACTAGGGTTCAAGGCTTGTTAACTTATATACCCAGCGTCCCTCTTGTGTTTTGCCGATGTGGGATTCTGTCTAAAGTCTGAGGTGTTACATACACCCCCTCTTATGGACTCAGCGTCCTTGCTGAGGTTTGCCCCACCGCATGGGATTTGCCTAGACTCAACACTGAGGTTTACCCCGCTTAACCGGGATTTGCCTAACTCAGTTGAACTCTGACCCACCATCGGCATGGCTGACACAAGAGTGGCTCTGATACCATCTGTAACAGCCCAGTCCACTAGTGATATTGTCCACTTTGGGCCTAGGCCCTCACGGGTTTAAAACACGTCACTAGGGTTTAAGGCTTGTTAACTTAGATACCCAGCATCCCTCTTGTGTTTTGCCGATGTGGGATTCTGTCTAAAGTCTGAGGTGTTACATATAAGGGGTGTACGATAAAGGCTCAACCTTTATATCAAACCGACACTTCACGAGTGTCCAACAACTTGCTAACAAGCCTATGCATGTGTAAAATGCACCAAAAAGCGCATATAGATGATATGCATGAACACAACATGTAAAAATGCATGGATCGGCATAGTTGATTCATTTAAACAAAATAAAGCTTCCACATTTATGCTCAAACTCATCAACAGGTATCATAATCAAAATAAAATGTGTCGGTCCCTAAACTTGCGTGCACATCGTTGGCGTGATTTTGGTGTTTAGTGACTCTAGAGGGATGGATCCATATCCACACACTTCAAGAATGTAAATCTATATGCCATATAGGAGCATGATATGACATGTTCTAATCGATATCTCAAAAGGAACGTGAATCGACAGTCCACACGCCTTAATTGATACCTCAAAATAGGATTGTGAATCCGTACGCCCTAACTGATACCTCAAAACATGAGCGTGAATTCACATGCCCTATCAACTCAATGGCTCACAACAGTCTCAAATAAGTAATGAGAGCAAGTATATAAGCTATAACAAAGTGCATATATGAAAGAGTGTATGACTATACAGTTCTACGATGTAAAACCCGTACATGAAATCCCTAATATTTAATTAGCATACGAAGGATGCATATAAAATTATTCTAGCATGAATAAGATGCTTAAATGGTCGTACAACAACTAGTTATGACATACAATATCCTATCATGTTAAACTACTATGGGATGATGCACATGTAGTCATGACTCAAAGAATAATAATGATCAATGTATGACTAACTAGTAACTCTTGTAGTCCAATATACATGAACCTATCTCTAGCATGAATAAAATGCTCAGGTAGTCATACAAACAAGTAAAGCATGTCACAAGTAGAACATGATCAAAACAAGGCTTAAAGAAGCCTAAAATCTACCCCAAACATAGTGCAACATCCTTATCAGCATATACGCTCGTCACCTCTTATGTATGTCACCCCCAACACATAGCATGTAGCACATAAGTCCATTCTTTGGAAAAATTTCCCCAAGTCAAGGTTAGCTAGGATACTTACCTTCTCCGAAATAAGCTTCAACCTTCAGAAGCGCCTTCCCTTTCTCTGTGGCCTCCAAACGTCCAAAATCTAGTCAAATAATACTTAACGAGGTCAAATAAGGCTATAGGAATCAATCACATATGAAAAAGACTCCATCTTTATCAGAATGTCAAAAGTCAAAAAAAAAATCTACCCGAGCCCACGTGGTCAAAACCCAAGATCAAAACCAAACGGTGACCTATAGCCTTCGGAGTCCAAATATATAGTTTATTTTCAAATTTAAGTCCAAATCGGTGTTCAAAACCTCAAAGTTTACTTTTCAAAATTTTAGTTCAAAATCCCTTTTTCCCTCTTTGAAATCCTTGATTCTAAGGCAAAATCAAAAATAGATTCGTGTAATAGTCATAGATTCAAGTTATAATTACTTACCCTAATGAGGTAGATGAAAATTCCCTCAAAATCACCTCAATCCGAGCTCCTTAGCTTCCAAAATGGTGAAATGAATTCTAAGTATGAAATGAGGTTATTTACAAGTGCGGGAAAGTGGCTGTAAGTACAGAAAATGACTGAAATGGGTGCTGCTGCAATTTTATTGCTGGTTTTTGCCTTAAAAACCTTCCCTGAACACCCCGAAACTCACCCGAGTGTCGGGGACCCTTTCAAATCATCCCAACAAGTCCAAATATTCTATATGAACTTATCCAAAGGCTCAAAACACAAAGTGGAACGCTATAAATCAAATCGACAACTCAAATCAACTTAAGAATCTTAAACTTGTGCCGAAATGCACCCGAGCCCCTCGGGCCCTAATCCTAACATACGTACAAGTCCAAAATCATTTGAATCTATTGGAACCTTCAACCCATGAATCTAAGCTCGTTTATTTAAAATGTTGACTTTGGTCAAGTCTAAGCATTTTAGACTTCCACTTCAAGTTCAAGTCTCCCAAAATGCTTCCGAACCCTTCGGGACCGTGCTACCAGTACCTGCAATTCATAAATCACCAAATGCAAGTCATAAATCACCAAATGAACCTACGAGAAGTCTCAAATAAGGGAACGCGGTCCTAGAACTCAAAATGACCAGTTGGGTTATAATATCATCGCAACTATGGCTACAAAGAGTGGAAGAGAAATAGAGTGAGTAGAGTGCTCAATACGAAGACTAGGGTGTCCTATGTATTAAGATAGTAGTAGCAATTCATGATGTGATGTATGAAAGCTTGAAGGGGTATGAACTTTGGCATGCCGTTTCAGAAGAACTGCAACTTGGGTGTTTGATACTATTCACTAGGTTGCAATTAACTATGCCTTGCTACATACATACATTAAGCTAAGATGCAAGGTCAGAGTTTGATGTCCAGAAGTTATTGCCTTTATTCCAGCTCTAGCTCTCAAATGGAATACCAAATTTTTGGGTCGTTATTGTGAAAAATCAGAATCTACAATCTAGTAAAGCTCAAGAAAGCACTTTTATACTGGATAAGTTACTTGGATGTCTGATTCTACTAGAAAAATAATGCATACCGAGCATTGCATAGACAATGTCACGTTTACTTACTGAATTAGCAAGATAACTTAAACAATATCAACGACCAAGCATCACTGACCATAGACAGAAGAGAAATCTCTCTCTATGTCAATATGTAATGCAGGTTTTATGTGAATCTTTGAACCTCAAATGTCAAAGCGAATTTTATAGCCATTATCGGAGAGAAAATCAGATTCTAATAAAGCTCAGAACAGCACTTGATATTGGAGTCATGCACTTAGATGTTCGTCTACTAGAAAAACAGTGCAGCCGTGGAAGTGCATAGACAATATCACATTTTATTTCTTAATCAACAGGATAACTCTTACCGAAATGAATGGACAATTGGGTTTTGCACCATTGACCATTTGTCCCCTATGCAAATAGGAATACATCTCAGTTTATGAGGTTTAGAGATATTGACAACTCTAGAATAATCTATCAACCAAATAATTTAACATTAATGGGGTTCTGATTTCATACTTTAGAATTTACTAGTAGAATACAAAAGCGAGCAGTATGCCTATGGTTTTTTTTTTCTTCCAATTCTCCAGCAATTTCTTGTAAATAAACTGCTGCATGTTCTGCCATTCCGGTTACTGCCTCATCGACTATTTCTATGAAATTTTTTCGATGGTTCTTGCAGTTGTCGGCTGTACGCCAGGAGCTTGAGGCAGCGAAGGAGGCCGTACTAGAGTCTGAGAAGAAGCTCAAATTCAAAGAAGAAACAGCTGATGCAGCCATGGCTGCAAGAGATGCAGCTGAGAAATCATTGAGACTGGCTGATTTAAGAGCATCGAGGCTGAGGGATAAAGTGGAAGAGCTCACTCGTCAGCTTGAAGAGCTAGATGGCAGGGAAACATCCAGAATTGCTCTAAACAGGCCAAGATACATATGCTGGCCATGGCAATGGCTTGGCTTAGATTTGGTAGGTACGAGACGTGTAGAGACACAACAAGAGAGTGCCAATGAAATGGAACTTTCTGAACCCCTTCTTTGACAGCCTCCTCTTCTCTTACTTTTGACAATAGTATTCTTCTTTGAACTTCCAGTATTTTATTCTTTTCTCTTGTTCTCTTCTTGTAATTCATTTTTATTATTTCCTCTGCGTTTTTTTTTTCTTCAAATTTCCACGTGCTGTATATTTATTGTGATACTTGTAAGAAAAATAAGCAGATAAATGATATAGGAGATTAATTGTTCAAAGTAAAACGAGCCTTTTGGATTGTACACAAGTTGCACTGGCTCTGTTCAGAGGAAGCCTGTCTTAGACGTGTCTTTTCGTAGTTCATGGGCATCAAGGATTGGTATTTTTTTTTCTTGGCTCAATAGCTTTGTTTATTAATCTTTTGATAGAAAGGGAGTAGAAGTTCTCAAATAAAAGTAAAGGTAGGTCCATTAATATTAGAGGAAATTGAAATGGTATTAGAGAAATGATTTATGGTGGGAAGTGCTTAGAAGAACGAAGAATTGGATTGTTCATTTCTTAAAGTTGAAGGTAAAACCATTTGTTGCATTTAGGGGTGCACAGAGGAAACCGACAAATCGCACCAACCCGATAATCCGAGTCAAACCGAGAAAAAAAATCCGACTATGGTTTGGTTTGATTTGGTTTGGTGTTGGAAAGAAAAACCCGACCATAATTGGTTTGGGTTGGTTTTAACTAAAGAAAGTCAAACCGAAACCAAACCAACCCGACGTTACATATATAGAAATTTTAGTTATATTTAATATATAAATATACTTATTGTGATGTAATTTATAAATATTTCTTAAACTTTTCATAATTTTATCTTTTAAGGTATTATTTCAAGGTTGGACTTAGAACTTTTGGATGTTCCAATAAGTTTTATAGCCATTAATATTATTAACTTAAATAATGCTAACAAAAGTCCAAACCAAAATCAAATCAATATTAATGATAACAAAAGACATTCAATTCAATACTGCAAACGGCAATGTATTGAATATCTATTTTTTGTTTTACAATAATTTAGATAAAAATGCATAACATATTTTTATTTTTTCTTTAGCGTTTAGTCATGTAATTAATACTCCCTTATAAGTCTACTTATTTTAGCATGACTTACTACTTTGAGATTATATTTATTTTAACTATGGCATTTTAATTAGCAATATTTATATTACATAATTTTATTGTCCTTATTGTTGAATATTTTAGGATAATGCCATGACACATCTCATATTTTGTATCATTTTCTTGGAAAATACCGTATATAGTTGTATCTTACTAGGATTAAAGAAATATTTTGAGCACAAGTTATTTGTTTTGTGCTACAAAGATTTTACCGGAAAAAAACCAACAAAACCCGAATAACCCGAAAACCCGAGAGTGAAAAACCCGAGTTTTATTGGTTTGGTTTGGTCTTTAGATTTAATAACCAGACACAATTGGTTTGGTTTGGTAATTGCAAAATCCGAACCAACCCGAGCTATGTATACCCCTAGTTGCATTAGAGTTATAGTGTAGTTCTTAATTTGCTAGAGTTTGCTCGCAGGTATTGTAGGATCTTTCATCAATAATAATTTCCATTTACAAAAATAAAGGATGTTACAAATTTTTGTTGAACTCAATTCATGTTTTGACACGAAAATTTGAGGTTAATGTTCAGTCAAGTAGAATACTCATTGCCGATTTAAGTCCGGATAAAAAATAAAAAATAAAAAAGTCGTGGTAGACAATTTCATGGTGAATCCTTACATTACTAGTATTGTCGGGACATGTTCATCTAGGCACGCATTACATCATTGGATTAGTTTAGATAGAGCTATTCGTCTTTAGATTCAGATATGATAATCTTGCTGAAAATAAATGGGGCATACGACTCTTTATACCAAAATCAATAAACGATTTGACTCGCTTAATTTTTTTATATTCATAAATGGAGCACATCAATACTATTAGGAGGGTTCTCCAAGTAATGGGTACCTCGTAGAACCTCAACTCATTTGCTAGAGTCTATTTGTATGAATAATGGGATTTCAACTTTCAATCAAATGGTTAAAAATTCCAATAATAAGGATAATAATTGATCCTTAGAATATTGAGATATAAAAAGGAAAACACATCAGATTTGTCTCAGAACTTTGTAATATTGCTTAACTATGTCATCAGTTAAAAGTTCATAATAAAAAAACTTGTATCGTTACATAAACATTACATATATCATTATTTTCGGACACGATATCAACTAAAGTAATATTTTTAATGAACTATAAGATCAGATATTCTCAAATTCGTTATGTGGAAGCTCTTTAATGCCATGTTATAATTATAGGATTTTCTTTTTCCAATCCTTAGATTGAGGTTTGGAAAAATGCCGGGTATTCTCTAGAAGAATAGAATATTCGGAAAGGAAACCATAGAAGAAAACAATTTAGTTATAGGTAAAATAGAAGAAAAATAAAAAGAAAAAACCACATAACTCAACCACGGTTAGTTTCCCTAACCCCGACTCTATAAAGTCGGTTGAGACGGTCCTGATTAAACTTCAATTACTAATCCAACGGTGAAGCATCAATCAAATAATGTGAATCGTACGCCGCATCGAGCTCCACACCATTAGCTTTCGCTGCTCCTTAGCTCACAAACAATTTGGGGATTAGGGTTTTTTCTCTCTTTACAAATTACGCATCGATTTGATATATGGAAATGGAATACGTAACAGAGTATTCACATCCATACATGGATCGTCGTCCTAAGAAGCGTCCGAGATTAGATTGGGATCCTTCCCATACTCCCAAGGTACTCCTTTTATTCTTTTTCCGTTGTTATTTTTTGTATTAATTTTACTCATTTTTTTCTTATTTACTGAGAAGTTGTTCGAAAATGAAATATATTTAGCTCAATTATTAGTAAATCTGATTACAATTGATGTTAAGTATCAACGAAAGTTTTGGTGTTATGATTTTTTATTTGTTCGAGAAATGAAAATTTTGTAGCGGAATTTCGAGGGTTTTGATTACAATTGAAGTTAAGGTTCAATGAAAGTTTTGGTGTTACTTTTCTTGGGAGAAGTTTCACAAATGACCCAAAAAGTGTTAGTTGGATGTTGAGTATTTTGATTAATTCTGGTTCTATGAAAGTTCTCGTGAACCATATGAGGTTTTAAGTTATTGGTGATAAAAGATAGGATTTTGGAGGATAATTTGATGCTTGAGTTATTGATTAGAACTGCAGATTTCAGTTTGAGATATATATTGGACATCTTCCAATAAAATTTTGTTTGTTTAATTTGGATCTGATGTTTGACTCCATGAATTCGGGGACTTCACTTTGAGGAAAAATAAGGAAATTAAAAAAAAAATCCGGCTGAAATCTGTAATTTTATAAGAACATAATTTCTTAAGGTTCTTTTGAGTGTCATTGGCATCTGAATTTTGCATGGTTAAACATTGAATTGAATCATGATGAAAAGGTAAAAACAATCTCGTTGGAATAAGAAGATTTATGAGCGATTTAAATTGAAAGGTGTAGTAGCATTTGATCAGTCATCAATCTTATGATGTTGGTCTGAGAATATTTGTTGCGTGACAAATGCTTGTTGTTTCTCTGATGTCAATAGTTTTGTACCAATTCAATGGTCTTGTCTAGCTTAGTGAGTTCGTTGTTGAGTTGGGGATTGCGTGAAAAATCATCTTGGTTGTTACTCTTGCAAATATTTCAAAATTCAGTTTAGTTTTGAATATAGGGTAGGTTTTATGTTATATCTTTTTCAGAAGAATATGAATGAATGGTTGTCTGTAGGCTCAGTCAGGAATATATTATGGGCAAGAGGTTGGCAATTCATCGAGCTATGTGCATTCAAGGTTACTACCCGATCATGATAGTTTATATGTAAAAGGACTGGCTCAAAAAGGCTCTCCCCCACGGCGAGATGATGACAAAGATGGACATTACATGTTTGAGCTTGGAGAGAATTTAACTACTCGCTGTAATTACAAATTTTTTTCATCACCATGTTATATATGTGTTAGGTTCTGCTTGATCAAAATATGTGTTAGGTTCTTTTTGGTTGGCTCTTATATTCCAGTTGTTTATGGAATTATGTGTCTGGTCGTGCTGAAGTCCATCTTTTTGTCCATAAGCAATTAGCTGATCGTTGTTTTGTAATTAGCAAGTAGAAACCAAAAAATGCTCTGATCATTTAGCATCTTGTATATGGGAGTATCCATTTTTTGTTGCAAGATATACCTCTACTTGTCGGATAAAGTAAGTGAATAAGATACTAATAGTGAAGGAACACATTTTCTTCTCAACGGTCTATTTTTCTTCTCTGGCATAATAAGTGACTATTATTTAAGTGTAAGAAATGAGGTTGCACATTGTTTTGTAGATGTAGTTTTGCTTGCATGAAATTCGGGAATTGACCTTCCTTCCCATTCTAGTGAGGACCAAACTAAGGATTAAGATATCTCCTATACCTGACAGAATCTTGAAGCTTTTCCAATTTCAAAAACTTATTTCTCATCATGTCTATATTAGACAACATAACCTGAAGTCCTTTAGTTTAATTGCATTTTGCAAGTATACGCTTATCTCCTCCATAATATTCTCAGTCATTTTCATTCCTGTAATTGCAGATAAAATTCTCAAAAAGATTGGTGAAGGTCAGTCTAAATTTCTTTTCTTAATTCACGATTTAATCGCTCTTGTTTGGCCGTGGATCTTTCTTCAATTTTATAGTTCACCAGGTACCTTTGGGCAAGTTCTAGAATGCTGGGACAGAGAGCAGAAGGGATTTGTTGCCATCAAAATTATCCGAAGTATCAAGAAGTATCGTGAAGCGGCAATGGTAGAAGTTGACATGCTTCAGTTGTTAGGGAGATATGATAGGGGTGGAAGCCGGTATGTCTTGTCTATGTTGTATATAATGGCTCTTCTTCATATAAATAAATGCAAGTTTGCATGTGATGGTTAAAAGAAGTTCCTTCTTTGCAGTTGTGTCCAATTACGGAACTGGTTTGATTATCGTAACCATATTTGTTTAGTAAGTATATTGTTGATTTGCGGTAACCTGATTTCCCCGACTTTGAGAATTCTATGGGGACTTAAGGCTTGCAATGGATTTAATGGTCTTAACAGGTGTTTGAGAAGCTTGGGCCAAGCTTATTCGATTTTCTACGGAAAAACAGTTATCGCGCATTTCCAGTTGATCTAGTTCGTGAAATTGGGAGGCAATTGTTGGAATGTGTAGCATGTGTGTGGT